AGAGACAAAAATCTCCCTCCACCTTAGAGAGTTTAATAAACTGCTTGTTCTGAAAAACTTCCCACTTCACTGGGATAAAACTTGTTTTCAGTTCCACTGTCATCCCAGAGAAAACACCAAGGAAAAGTCAAACTCAGCCTTGTGAAAGACTGGATTGTGTTATAGACCTTCCCTCTACCTGAGCTTGAACCCCTTCCCAGAGGCCCCAGGCTGCCCCTGTCTGAGTGACGTCTGATGACAAAATGACCCAGGAGGACAAGTGGCTTGTGCTGAGGAACAATTGGCTAGAAGACAGAGTGAGTGTTTGGGGGAGGAAAGAGGACCAGAGCTCAGAGAAAGAAAGGCCGAGGGCAAGTGGTTGAGAACACGTTCCATCAGTCACACCTTTGGGAGTCATGGCATATGGAGGAGAGCAGAGAAACTGCTCTTGAATCTCACAGCCTGGCACACGGTATCCAGCGGAAACCACAAAGCTGAGGCAGCTCCGTAGTGGTGCTGCCGTCTGTGCGGACTGGATGAGCGCTATGAGAATGCTCACCACGGGAGTTGCTCAGTCTCCCCTCTACTGGAAGGGCATTTTTGTAAAGAACTGCACCTGTCTGGTGGGCAGGCTGCTATGGGCACTGAAAAGGCAGCTTCTTGAGACTCTGCATGCTTTAGCTGATTCTCCTTGGGTCATCAGGAAGGCCAACTTACCACCCATGCCTGACACATTGGTCCCGCTCAAGTCATTAGGATGTGGCGCCGAAGGTGGGTTATAGCCGATCACCAGGTCAATGGTGGCCTGAATAGAAAGAACCCATTGCACAGAGCATTAGTGCGAGGGAAAGAACATTATATGTGCAGCATGAACAATTCAGTAGGGGTAGCCGTCTTGGGAGGACTGGCCAAGAAAGTGAGACAGGAGAGGTGGTGAGGGTGATGTCACATTGGACTATTCCTATCTCCCCCCACCACCCCGTGAGCCAGGGGAGGGTGAGAAAGAAGCTGCTTTGTCACAGGTTGCCAAGGGCAACCTCACTGGCTGAAGTAAAGCAGTAAGAAGCATGTGTGACTTGCAGCTAGCTCCTGTCCTGCACTGGAGATGGCCTCTGCTCATAGAACTACCAATGGACATGCTCATTTAGAATGCTCACTTCACTTGCTGCTCATGAATACTGATGGTTGAGATTTGTTTTTATACTTCTCTCCAGGAAAGAATTTTAAGTAACTAGCAAGAAGGTGCATAATCGCATAATCATAAGATAGAATGAAAGGGGAAACTGAGCCTGATTAAAGACAAATACACAAATCATAAAGTTAAACATAATTGTCATCCCTCCCGTGTTAACTGTGATCCCAAGACACCTAGGAATCAAACAAAAAGGGCACCAAAGCAAAGCTTATGTCTTTATATTTCATGAACCTACAAGTCTTCAAAAAAGTTTGCTAGGAAAAAAAATTTGTAATTGCCCCCTTCCCTTCAGTTGCACTGATGGGAGCCAGGGCCCTGCACATGCTAGAAAACTGGTCTTCCCCTGAGCCTCACCTCAACCTTGAGGACGAGTTGCTAACTTTTATTTCACCAAACACTTGCCTGTTGACTACCACAATCGTTTGCTAAAAGAAAGGCATTTTAAATACCCAAAGCAAGGAAAGACAAACTTGAAAGTTAAGGAAGTCCTTTGCAAAGGAGGGTTCTCCACCTCCATCCACTACCCCAAGACACATGTCAGGTTAGAAGATAAAACGCAGGGGCTGGAGAGGTAGCTCAGTGGTTAAGAGCACCAACTACTCTTGCAGAGGACTGACATTTGATTCCCAGGACCCACACGGTAGCTCTGTAAATTCAGTCTCGAGTGATCGGATACCTTCTTCTGGTCTCTGTGGTCACTGTATGCACATGTTACACAGAGACACATACAGGCAAAGCAGTCATATACACAAAATAAAAATAAAGGTTAAAAAAGAGATTTTAGTTCAAAGCCAGCCTGGTCTACAAGAGACTTCCAGGACAGCCAGGGCTGTTACGCAGAGAAACCCCGTGTTGGAAAAAAAAAAATTAAAGAAGATAAAATAAAGAATAAGATATTCTAGTATTTAGAACATATTAATGCTAGAATTATTAGTTATTTTTCTGAAGTCTAAATCTAAGTGAACCTTTCTTCCTTCATTTACAGGCTTGCTATGGCTAGTGACTCTCATGTGTGCATGCATAGACACATATCTGTATTGCTCCTGTTTTTTTCTTGTCTGTTCATCAGTGAGTGTTTCCTCATGGATCAGCACATTCGGTGCCTGAGACTGGCCTGGGGACACCCACAATTCCATGTCAAGCCAGCAGTCACAAGTGCAGCATCGATGGCTACTTTTTCCACAGGCCAAGGCTCAGCATGAAGGCTATGTGAGCCGGCACCATGGGACTCAAGCTTAACAAGAGAAATTGTACTTTTAAAACCCAGCGGAGCCATGGTGATTCATCCCCAGATTGCTGGTTTACATGCTGTGGTCCAATTGCCTCAGTATTCCTAGGGATACTTAGGAATCTCAGTAGGGATGAAGATATCCCGGGGCGGGGGGCGGGGAGGGGTAGATGTTCATCTCAGTCCTAACACTTCTGCTGCTTTGGATAGTCCGTGAACTCTCTCACTCTCTCTTCTAAGCTTTTTAAAAACACCAGCAAGCCAAAAATAAATAAATAAATAAAAATAAAAAGGAACACAGACATCCCGTCTTGCCTTAGTATCCTTAGTATCATTTCTCTCTGTAGTCAGATGGCAGAGGGCATTTTGGGTGCACATGTTATGATCATAAACCTGACTCAAGACGAGCCAATAGCCCCAGGGATCAGCACAGCCACATTGGCATCGTCTCCCCTGGGTCCCGAGAGGCCTCGGCTGTGACAAGGCTTACAGTGATGCCTCTAGTATAAAATGCTCAGGTTCAGGAGCAAAATAAATTGGTTGGAAAATAAAGGGGTTAGAAGTCATGGGCTGAGCATGAGAGTGTTTGAAGACTTCTTAGTCATGTAGCTTCTAAACCTGAGTTGCTTGAGTGAAACACACTTGAATAATTCTTTTTTTTTACATTTATTTATTTATTACATACACAATATTCTGTCTGTATGTATGTCTGCAGGCCAGAAGAGGGCACCAGACCCCATTACAGATGGTTGTGAGTCACCATGTGGTTGCTGGGAATTGAACTCAGGACCTTTGGAAGAGCAGGCAATGCTCTTAACCTCTGAGACATCTCTCCAGCCCTTCTTTTTTTTTTTTTTTTAACATGGGATCTCATTGTGTATCCATGGCTGATCTGGAATCCGCTATGTAGATCATGCTAACCTCACAGAGATCAGCCTGCCTCAGTCTCCTGATTGCTGGGATGAAAGGTGTGCACCACCACACTCTGCTTTGAATTTTGGTTTTACGTTAGCCAATATATACGTACATAGAGGGGCTGGGATCGGAAAGTAGTCGGAAACCCGTGTGGTGACAGTGGCCATGACATTACTGTCTTAACACAGATGGTAACAAAAACCTGTTTGTCTGCTGTGTTATCAAAGTTACCCAGAGTTAACGGCAACCACTCAAACGCCAACACCCACATGGATAGCACTGAGCTACCTCCAGAGGGGTCCAGCTTACCATATAAAGGTCTGTCAAACCAAATGAAATCTCAAATTTGCTGACTCTGTGGCTGAGAATTAAGGTCCAAATAATTGACAAATGGATCCATTTATCATGAAACCAGGTTTCCAGTGTTTTGGGTAGAGATTGTCAAGTCTTTCCTAAGTGAGGATTTACTCAACCATCCTATTTTGTCTTTCCACTGAGTAGAGAGCTCACCCCAGTGTCTTGTCCCTTTTCATTTAGCAGGGGGATCTGTTTGTAGGGTGAAGATCTGTTCTGGTCCCCGGTCAGGTCCTTCAGGGAGACAGTCGCGGTGCCGATTAATCTGCAGAGGAGACAAGAAAGCACAGAGCAACCTCAGTGGGGGCATGCGTCCACGGACCCTTAGGCCGCTCGGTGGGGGCATGCGCCACGGACCCTTAGGCCACTCGGTGGGGGCGTGCGTCCATGGACCCTTAGGCCACTCGGTGTCCTCACATCTACTCAGCCAGTAACCGCCTTGGCAGGAATGCACCCTGCCTTTGGCTCTCAGACTATTGAAACAATGGTTCTCAAGAAATTGGAATTCCCCTAGGGTGACTCCTGCTAGAAGAAAAAAGTTAAAATGTATCAGCCAGAAGAGGAATTTGTGGGAGATTAGCGAGGATAGGTCGCCAATGGGTGGGGACCACACCACTTGATCAGGACCTACTTAGTTCTGTGTACCTATTGCCCCCTACTAACATAAACCACAAATCTGGACCCCAAAGATGGACTGGGGGGGCGGTGATGCAGTTCACTTCTGTTACTCTCCCTAGTGTGGCCACATCAAATAATCTTCCTTTCTCTGCCTTTTGCTGCTAGGTCTCTCTCCAATCGACTTCCTGAGGGCAGATAGCTGAGCCTAGCTTGTTAGGGCCACCAGGGTCCAGGCTTTGACCCATAACATCGTATTAAAAAAACCACAACATATCAAATGTGGGCCAGAGTATTTCACAGCGAACAGAACACGCGTGACTTCTCCATGACAAGGTCATCAGGGAGTCAAACTAAAACATGAAATTCTGACTGTCGTGAATGGGGGGTGGGGGTGGGGGACAACTGAATACAGCCCTCCAGACTCCAGAAAGAGAGATGTAAGAAAAACCTCAGTAACCAAGGGAAGCAGTCCTCTGTCATGGGGACTGAAAAGGACCCGGACACGGCCCACTGGACAGCACTTCCCCGTGTCAACCTTCTCGGATAGTCACGTCCAGTCTAGGCTGCTGGGGTCAGTCTTACAGACAGGCTGACTCGCTGGCTAGCCCATACCCTCTGCTGCAGCATGGGAAGGAGGATGTACTCTGTGCATTCTCTTCCTGGTCCCAGCAATCACTGCAGCTCTCTGTCACTGCCTCTTTGGTTCCCTGTTGCACAAGTCTAGTGGGCGGAAAAGTACACGGTGTGCTTGTCCCTCGCATCTGCTCCCTGGGCACACTGGCTGCTTCTGTTTTGCTCAGCCCGTTGTCTGGACTATGGCAGGCGCTTAAAGGTCTTTGTGGGATGATTGGAAAGAGTGAGTAAGTCTACAGGTGCTGCGAATGAATAGCTGAAATTTTTATATAATTAAGGTCTATTTTAAAAGGCTTTTTTAAATATATAGAACACACACTCTCGGGGAGTTAGTATTAAAGTGTTTAAAGGGGAAAGGAACCCTTGGAAAATTGTCTGTAACTTGGAGGATGGGACCTGAAATGTGGGTGGAGGAGGGGACCAGAGAGGCACAGAACCTGGGGGCTTTCATTTCAATGTGCAGACTGAGAAAGGGGATAGAGAAATAGGAAGAGGGATGTCCAGTTATTTACAGCTCGCTGATGTTTGCAGTGACTCATTAGTAGGAAGCAATGTTATAGAACAGAACATTACTAACATTAAAATAGAAAACTAAGCACCAAACCCTAAGCAATGGAGGACATGATTTTTGTGCTTATGGTGCTAGGCATGGTCTTAGGTGGTGCTAGAGAAGCACCCAACCCACTGAGCTATATCTCCAAGCCAAAAATCATAGTTATGTTCATTCTGTTTGGTTCTGGAGACAGGGTGTGTAGTTTGGATGAGAATGGTCTCTATAGGCACGCATGTTTGAATACATGACCCCTGGCTGGTGGAACTGTTTGGGAAGGATTAAGGGTTGGGTCATATTAGAAGAGATGTGTCCCTGGGGCTGAGTGTTGAGGTTTCAAAGGACTTGTCACCTCTAGTGTGCACTGCCCTCTCCCTCTTGCTGTGGACAGGATATGAAATCTCAGCAGTTCCTGATGTCTTGTCTTTGCTCCACTATTGTCTAAACTGTAAGCCCAATCCATGTTTTATTTTTTTAAGTCTCCTTGGTCATGACACTTTGTCATAGAAATAGAAAAGAAAGTAAGACACAGGGGTTTACTGAGTAACTCAGGATGTACTTGAACTTACTACATAGCCTAGGCTGATCACGAACTCATACTCCTTCTACTTTTGTATTCTCAGTGCTGGCAGTACTAGTATGTACCACCATGTGTATGTATGCATATGTATGTATATATGAGTATATGTGTATGCAGTATATGCATATCAACATAAGCCAAGCATGGCAGTATACACTTGTAATCTAAGCACCCAGGATATAGAGACGGGGGAATCAAGGGTCCAAAGCTAGTCTGGACTACACAGTAGGACCCAGTCTCAAAAAAAAAAAAAAAAACCCAACACATGGTGGAGAGACTGGTTGATTATTTTTGTGTAACTCTAGGCAAAGTGTACTCTTAGGCATAAGTAAAAGTCAGAAAAGTTGATTTTGTAGAAAACTGTTTCCTCTTAGAATGTATTAAGTTTCTTCAAAAACCAGGAAGTAGGTTTGGAGTATACAGCTCCTGCTTATGACACTCAAGGTCTTGGGTTCAATCTCTTGCCCCACCGGAAACAAAACCAGAAGTGAAGGCTAAGGTCGGCGTGGACATGTCATTTTTGAAGTTCTGGTGGTGGGGCAGGCACATCATTCTTGGAGTGACACACGTACATCCATGTTCGCAGACTTCAGACTGTAGGATCTGTGGCCCTCCACACTTTAGTGACTTTGGGTATTGAGCTGTCTTACTCTGGGAACGGAAGATTTTATTGCACAGGAGCATCAAGGCAGCTTCACACAGTTTGCCTAGTAATTTGGCCTATGTGCCCATGGTTTCTTGGAAGAGTATATGTTGTGATACAGAGCTGCGTGTACATACAACTCTCAGCATAGAAAAACCATCACAGATTCTCATCTTTCTCTGATACAGCACAAGACAGCCTGCTGCTAGGCAGCAAGAGGAACATTTCCTCCAGAAGGATGGGCGAGCTTTTCACTTGTGGGTCCATACAGCAGTCAGGTCTACCAAACAATGCTGAGAACTTACGGGAACTTTACACAGTACCTTAAGGAATATTAGCATATTAAAACAATGATTAATATACTTGGAGCGTTGTTTCTCCTTGCTTGGGTTTGATTTCTCTAACATGATGAAGACAGAGATACACACCTCGCTCCACCTCCACCAGACAAGACTGTTACCCCACAGCACAAGATGACAGCCCTACTATTTCCACCACACTCTCAAACTCTCACAGAAACCCGAGGAGAGTTTTGACTCATGGTTTTTAAATATGGCAATCAGTCATGGCGTGGACCAAACTGATATTTTAAGAATAATGAAATGGGGGGATGAGGTCAGTAAAATGTTTGCTGCCAATGCACAAGGACCCGAGTTTAAAAAGCTTTATGTTGAAGTACACACTTGTAATCCACTGCTGAGAAGATAGAGATGAGGTTGGGGTCCCTGAGGCTTGCTGGCCAGCCAGCCCAGCCTAACCAAGTACCCTAGGTGTCCGTGAGAACGATATCTTATCTCCAAAACTGTAGCTGGCTCCCAGGGAGTGACACCCAAGGTTAACCTTTGACCTCCTCACACGAGTCCATCTGTGCACACGATCATCACTCACACATACGCAAAAAATTAAAATTACAAGTTCAAAAATTTAAGAAAATCATTAAAAATAGCTTAAAAGTCGCCTGGGAGGGTTGGGGAGCTGACTCAGAGTTTAAGAGTGCTTGCATGTTTGTGCAAGTCTGGTGACCTGAATTTGAACCCCAGGACCCTTGTTAAGAGCCAGGTGTAGTAGACACATCTGTAATTTCAGCACTCCTGCCTGCAGGTGGGAGGCATGGACAGAGGCTTGGGGGCCAGCTAGCCTGCCGTCCATGGAGATGGGACAAAAACCAAGAGAGACCCTCCCTTAAGGAGGGAAAAAGTGAGAGCCACTCCCACAGGTGTCCTCTGGCCTCCACTCTGCACAGTGGATGTGCACAGGACCACACATCACAGGCTCTCTCTCTCTCTCTCTCTCTCTCTCTCACACACACACACACACACACACACACACACCCTCACTCACATACACACATCACAGACACTCACACATACAGTCACTCATACATATGTATGAGTATACACATATACACACACCTATCACAAGCACTCACACCATCCACTCAGACACACACACACACACACAGCATAGGAATAAACACCATGTAGACATCCCCTACAGGCACTAATAGTATGCACATACACATATACACACTCACACCATACACATACACACACACCACAGGCACTCACACACACACACACACACAATAAAATATGTATTTTTCCTTCTTTTATAGAAAATCTGTCTGGATTTGCCTAAATATGGTGTTCACCTGGAAGACAGGGAAACGTTATCCTTCACGGTTCGTGATTCATGGTACAGTTCTATGATTAAGAGAATGACATCACACATTTGAACAAGTACTGATTTGTTTTTGGTAAAGCCAGTTACAGCTAGAATGACCTGAGCCTCTTATCAGTAGTAAACAAATCTGAGAACAGGGCAGGGGGCCATGCCCAGGTCATGTGGAAAAAGGCATGATGAGGGGTTGGGCCAGCATCCTAATTCTTGACACTAATGACATTTTGAACCTGAGACTATGTCTGTCCTGCCCTTCGTCAGACATGCAGCCAAACCCCTGACCTCCACCCACTCGATGATGCCCAGGACAGTGCCTTCAGCTGTGACCACCAGATGCATTGCCCAGTGTCCTGGAGGACAAAGTCACCAGGTGGGGAACAATTGCTACTGTAGGCCCAACCGTTGGATTCCAGCTCCTTCTGAGGCCTCGCCTTAGGCCCTCCATTCTTTGAGGCACTGCATTATTAGCAAACGAATGAACAGACATGAACCATTTCACTGGCTGGGCTTATGCATATGAGCCTAAGTAGTTCCTAAGAGTCTACTTAGGAAACTACTGCATGTTAAATACCTGTTTTCTTACTTTGCCACGTTTTGAGGTGTGTGTGTGTGTGTGTGTGTGTGTGTGTGTGTGTGTAAAATCTCTTAGAATTCTTTTGGAAACTTCATAATGAAAGGCAGGGTTTCTGCCTCCCAAATTACTGCTCTCTAATGTCACAGATCAAAACTAATTCACACATGGCGTAGGGGCAAAGATGAAGTCAGAAGAGAACCATAAAATGCAGTGAAGTTACACGATACCTTGGCAGACAGTGGGACTTGTGGCTAGCTGGAAAGAACAGGCTTGCGTACACACAAAGCCCATCTGTTAATCTTTTTATGCTGCTCAGTGGTTGAGAACCTGTTCTGACTCAGTCTGCTGGGTTTCCTTCCCGAGGAGAGGGCGGCATCAGATGACCGGGCAGGGATGGAGGAAGGTGAAAGCAGCCAGTTATAAACCCTAAACTCAAGTCCTGCTTTTAAAAAGCTTGAACCCCATTTCCTAAGGTTTACTTTCTTGTTATAAAATCCCGATGGTTTTATTGGGGGGCATGTCAAAGACAACCTGACGTGGGGGGGGGGGGGGGGCGCACGTGCATGCGTTGTTGTGTGTATCTGTGAACATGTGCGTGCATGCGTGCGAGACTGCGTGGAAAGACTGTGTTTTGGTAAAAGCCTTAGAAGATAATCTCAAAGACGCTTTCACAGTGAGCCTGAGTTGAGGAGAGATGTAAAGGAATGTAGCTCCCGAGACCTTTGCCTGTGAACTGAAGGAGACTGCCTACGGCCAGTCCTGCAGAGCGCTCAGGACAGCCAGCCAGGCCTGTTTTCTGGGCCGTTGCCTGGATACAGAAAACTATGAGAACATGAGGAATGATAGCTTGGCCTCCTACACAAGGAGGGGACAGGAACGGTTCAGTCTGACCATAAGCTGGTTTCCTTTAAAGGAGGTGACAACGAGCCAAGGACTCTTTTCCTCCTCGATACTAATGCGATACTGGAAATAGGCCAAGATGATATGATGTGTCGGCAGTGGGGACCCCTTGCCCTGCATTCCCCAGAAAACCAGGAGCCGCCTATGGACTGTCCCAAGATTACAATTGATGGGCCGCAGTCCCAAAAGGAAACTACAGTGCCAGAAATGCCTGGCACTTGACTCTGCAGCTCTTTGGGGAACTAACAAATTCCGGGTGCATCGGACACTGCAGGAAACTCAGGTCACCGCCCCGTTCAGTTTGTGACTGAAGAACTCAGTCAGGCCTATGCATGACAGGAACCTGGGGCAGGGAGCGGAAAGTCAAGCCACTCAGGTTAGCTCCATGGTGTCACTTAAGAACCTCTCCATTGCTGGGTGCCTCTGGAAATACGCATCTGCTTTTTAAAAAGAGGAATGGAAATGTTCTCCCCACAGGCTGGGCCCACACTTACAGCCACATGCCTCTGTGGTGAGTAAGGACTCTGCTGGCTGAGGGCCTCAGCTGGGTGGGGGAGGGGGTGTTCACATACACAGCACACCAGGTCCCTTCTCTGAGTAGCCCGGACCCAGCCCATGAGGATTGCTGGAAATTCCTTCACAAAGGAAGGAAAGATCCTCTGGAGGCTTGCGAATAAATCATACACTCACTGCTGCCTTCTCTAGGGACTGTAAACAGCCAGAGGACTGCCATCCTCTGGGAGGAATCATAGCCTGCAACTGGACTGGAAACAGAAAGTTTGCGACCTGTGCAGATGTGAAGAGACTTTGCTAATCCGTTCTTTAAAGGCCCAGACTCCAGCTGCCTGAGTTTATCATTTTGGCTGGACCTGTATGACTTGTATAACTTCCCCACACTGCTCCCTCCTCTGGGCCTGTGTCCCTCAAGTTCCTCCTGGGTCCTAAGAATAGGGGAGGGAACAGTCATCCTCTCCCCACCCCCCAGAGAAACCCCAGAGACTGGCAGGAGAAGCAGGGCGGCCAACCAACCAAGGCTCTTAACACAGCCCAACTTTTTCCCAGGACCCTTCTAGGCAGAGTATATGCTTCACCCTCAGGTTCAGATCTGGCAAGGGACCCCTCTGGGTTGAGTAGGTTGGCCACCCCGGATATGGCCCCTTTAATAACCTTCAGACTTTCTCTCCCATGGGACAAAGGGATCACTCTGGCCTGCCTTCAGCAAGAATCCTCTGAGGTTTGCCAGAACCCCCTATCCCTGGCATTTCCTCTTAGAGACTTTCCATCCACTGAGCCCTCCCCACCCCCTGACTGTAAGTTCACATTTGGCTATGTTGTGTAAGGACTTGAACCCCATCTCTCCCCTCTACTGAAGTTCATCCATCCTGTAATCCCGTTCCTGTGGCTATGGCCCTGGTTATTCTTCCTGGACAGGTGGCCCAGAACAGTTTTTTTTGGACACAGCCATGACAGTAGGTCATAGTACCAGAGTTCCTTACTAAGGTAAACGCCCCTCAAAGCAAACTCCCTCAGTTCTCAGATTCATGTGCACCAGAGGGGTTCATCCTCACTGGTCTCTGATTCTCTCTCCAACTGTCCCTCGAAGTGTAACCTGAAATCTCCCAGAAGCCGCAGCAGCAGCAGCAGAATGAGGAGGTCTCTGCAGATTCTCAGGGCCTGGAGTTAGAATATTTATAAAGGTGATTCCTTTTCTTTCCTTTTATCTTTATTTCATGTGTATGAGTGTTTTGCCTACGTATGTATTAGTGTACTGCATGCATTCTTATTGACCATGGAGTTAGAGATGGCTGTGACCCACTCTGTGGATGCTGGAAACTGAACCCAGGTCCTCTGCAAAAGCAAGTGCTCTTAACCATTAACCTCTCCAGAACCTTGAGGTGATTCTGACACCCATGATCTCATACCAGAAACCCTCATGAGGGTCTGAAGAAGGCAGCTGGCAAAGCAGAATCAAGAAGTGTTCAAAAGTCATTCAATATGATCACACAGGGCCACAGCTGAGAAATATGTACAGAAATCCAATTATTTCCTAGAATAAACTGTAGTCAATATAACACCATCAATATCTAGACACCCTTCCCATTGCCTTCCCTTCTTGCTCCAGACCTGGATTCTATTTTTTTTAACTGAAAGAACAAAAATGCCATTTATTGTGGTAGGGAGATAACTGAAAGAGAAAAGACCAGGATTCTTAAAGACAGTCCCAAGGTGATGCAGGAGGTCCTTCTGACTATGTGTTGCTTTTATTAATTAATGAATAAAAAAACTGGTTTGGCCTATAGCAAAAGTAGAACTTAGACAGGGAAAGCTAAGCTGAATGCTGGGAGAAAGGGCAGAGTCAGGGAGAAGCCATGTAGCCCCACCAATAGATGCTGAATCTTTACCCAGTAAGCCACATCCACGTGGTGATACACATATTAGTAGAAATGGGTTAAAATAAGATATAGGAGTTAGCCAGTAAGAAACTAGGGTTAATGGGCCAAGCAGTGATTTAAATAATATTGTTTCTGTGTGATTATTTTGGGTGTGAGCTGCTGGGCAGCTGGGAACCAACAAGTGGCCCTTATTGCAACAAATTGGCACCAATGTGGTTGACTAAATCCACATAAATCCTGAGAAAGCTTACAGTTAGTTTCCGAGTGATTATTTCAAGGCCAAGCAGCTGGGAACCAACAAGTGGCCTTTTTGCAACACCAAGACTTTCTTCTTGGCCATTTAAAGACAGCATGAAGTTAAAAATAAAACCAAAACTAAAACACAGACATAGTGGTCCTCCACAATGTTCCCAAACCTGCTGTGGGCCAGCCTTCCATGCACTCTTCACAAACTCCACACCCTCAATATTATTTCTTACAAATGACTGTACTCAGGCAGGTGAGATGGTTCAGCAGGTAAAGGCTGCTACCTTCAAATACGATGACTGAATTTGATCCCTGGGACCCATATGGTAGAAGAAGAACACTGATCCCTGCAAGTTGTCCTCTGACTTCCTCATAGGCACTATGGCATGCGTCATGCACATGCACACACACACATATTAGATAAATATAATTGTGATTAATAACTATATCCTGATACCTTTCTCTTTCTACCTGTCCAATTCTGTTTTCTCTGTCCTCTGCAATAGGTCAGTGGAGTTCCCGGAGTCTGGCTGTCTAATTCCCTGGACATCAGAATCAGATCAGTTTTTAATCATTCATAAACACATTCCTTCATCCATTCACACGCGGACCTTAGAAAGCAAGGGGACAGCACAGTACCGTGATTATGAAGACAGAAACTTAAGTAACTTGGACTCAACTTTGTACTAGATATCCTATATGATTTCTTGGGGCTCCAGATTTTGTATCTATAAATGGGGATGACAGATCTTATCTAATGATGCTGAGATAAAAGAATAATAACAAAGTTGGATGGTGGTGGCACACACCTTTAATCCCAGCACTTGGGAGACAGAAGCAGGTGGATCTCTTAGTTTGAGGCCAGTCTGGTCTACAGAATGAGTTCCAGGATAGCAAAGGTTGCACAGAAAAACCCATCCTAAAAAATAAAATGAACAAACCCAATCTGTAAAGTACTTAAAAATCATCTTTAACTAGTTCAGATACACTCTGGAGAAGAAAGCTAAGAAAAGCATAGAAGGATACGTAGAGAAACCTCTGATCCAGACCCATGTCATGCCCTAATCTCAAAAGACATGAGGCAGAGCAGGTGGGCATGAATGTAAGATTTCTTAGAAAATGTTGGGTATAGTAGTCCATGCTTGCAATCCTAGAATTCTAGAATCTGAGACAAAAAGATCGCCATAAGTTTGAAGTCAACCCAGGCTACATAGCAAGGCTGTCTCAAACAAACAAGTGCCTGGAGAAAAAGCTCAGAAGTTAATAATAATAGCATTTGTTGAACAATCATGAGGACCAGGAATTGTGGAGCATGCCCATGACTCCTTGAAAACACAACTTCAAAAAATAAATACGGGGGAGTTATACCCCCTGTCACCACATAATGCATTGAATCATGCCCTTTTTACTCTAAATGTCTTGAATGTGGATGCCCAAAAGCAATCTGCTGATAGATTTGGGCATGATGGCACCAGAGCAAATTTCACTAAAGCGAAATAGAAAGATCCTTACACTGGATTATAGAAAGGATCCAACCCTGTTTTACTATGGGGTTGAGGGCATGTTTGTGTTTTTCCCACAGGAAGAATATGAAGTCTGAGGGCTCCCTGAACACTTGGTATGCTGTGTGCAACAGAGGAATACGAGCCCTGACAACACTGTAGCTGCTGAGGCCCTCCCAGAGGAGCTGGAGTGAAACTGCTGAACCGATGCTCCTGACCCTCCAGTGTCATCATGCTGCAGTCTGAGAAAGGAAGGAGATTACAGCAGTGGGTGGTGAGTCCCAGTTTCTTGCTAGAACTGCTGCACAAACCTCCCAGAACACTGTGAGTTTTATTACGCTAGATCCAGCCAAGAAACGCTGACTGAATGTTTGGCCTTGCATCTGCAATATAACTTGGGACATAGATGTTAACTTTGCCAGTGTAGTGCATCATCTGATGTTGAAATAGGGGGCCTGGAGAACTGAGACCTCAGAAATTTCCCCTCTGTGGGAAAAAGAAACCTGTTGAAACAATCAAACAGTATTTTGTAGGTGATGAGAGACTAAAATCCATCTTCAGTAGATGAGGAAAAGTAGAATAAAGATTTTGTTGCTAATATTTGGCGTTCAGGGACTGTACCAGCTCAAACATATCTTTGGAAGCTGATAGCAGCAGTGCAATTAGACTATAGGAGAGGATAAAAACTCATACCTCACCCATCACAAGAACATTTCTTTTGATTAGAACAAAAGTCATCAGAGTTGTAATTTGACCAATTGGGTATTTATTGTTAATGTTTATAATATAATTATGGCATTGACCTGTTAATGTTTGTAACCACTTCTGTTCACTATGAAAATGTTGCTGGTTGGAGAAAGGTCAGAACTTATATGAGAGGAGTATTAGGATGTACTGCAGCCATAGGAGCATGTGCATTGATAGGCATTATCTGCTTGCCTATGATTATAGTGACTTGTGAATTCTCAATGGAAAGTTGGCTCAGATGGATGTGCCATCAAGCTGTGCGCTCTCCCTTAGCCCTTTGTAAACAGAGGTTGGTAGTCAAAGATGAGTAAGATCTTTTGCCCTCCAGTCAACCTAAGACAGAACTTGTGTGACGGAATGCGTACACCAATGATGGGTAAGTCTGGAAAGTAGAAGAAGATAACCTAGGATAGGCACAGTTGTCTGTCCTGTGGCAGAAGCACAGGCACTAATAATTAAACTGAAAAGGAAGAACTGTGGGAACCCTAAGAATGGAATCCATTCCACCTTGACTAAAGGTCAGAGAGTTCAGACTTATTCTTGCTCCTTCAAAGTTATATGACAGGATGCTTGACCTAAGGTAGAGCTACATGATGTCTTACCTAGACAAAAAGGATATTTTGTTCTAGGGAATGATTACCTGATATTTGAAAATGTGAGGAGGAGACTACATTGTTTTTTCTTTGTATCATGGTAAAGAAGTCTTTGCCTTCCTACCTTCTTTTGGATTTGAGTATTTAAGAACTTTGAGTAACAAACGTAGGACAGAACATGGTACTCACTGGATGCCCTCCTGATTGTATCTGTTGTCTCTTGTCTGTTTCTTTCTCAATCCACACTCCCCTCCTCTGGAATGTACAGACCCTTCAGGCGAGACCCAATGTCTCAGGCCCCGTAGTTCAGTCTCTTATTAGTTTGGGCTGTGCACTGACTCATATAAAATAGTAGTTTCTTTAGGCTGCAGTTTGCCTTAAGAGATTGCATTTACAGGCAGCTTTTGAATCCATTTTGAGAAAGCAGGATGACTCTGCCCCTGGGTAGACATGTGAATGGCACCATCCGTCTGACATCACCTTCACTGCACTAACCAAAAAACAACCTATTCCTAGGACTACAGAGGGTGCCATATTAAAATTTCTTACATTAATTGATACCATGTAAGCATATTAAAATCACAGTAAGAAAACGAGGGCCAAGAAATTATAAGACACACCAGACCAAGGAATGATATAACCCCCTCTTATAGACCCCAAAAAGAGATGGACTTCTAACTCTGTGATGGTGACCCATCCATCTGATCACCTTCTATGTGGTCAAGGGACGGATAGGCCAGTGAACTCCTCACTGCCCAAGGCCCTCAGCTTCACTGGGTCCCCACTACTGATGCCACCTACTGGAATTGTCATCTGCCTGTCTATCTGCTCACCCATCTGGACCTGCTGTCTACTCATTTGCTCAGCTGGCCATCTGCCCAGGCCAGGTCTGGCCCTTCTTGCCTCACTGCTGCAGCTCCACTGAAATCCTGCAGCCAGACTCCATGGCCAGCAGCCAACAGCTTCCCAGCCTCTCCTGCAGCTGGGTTCCTTTGATTCCTGTCTCACGTCCAGCAGGTCTCCTTTACATTTCCATGGGTTTCTGGCTTTGACCTCTAGGATTTCTCTGAAATGCCTTGTCTCTTTAGCCCTTTGTAGCCATTCTGGAATTATGTAACATGCATGCATGCATATATACATACTTACAAAAAACAAACATTTATTGCGTGATGCATAATGTGCTCTAAGAGATCATATTAGTAATTAAGGTTGAAATAAAAGAATCTGTGATTGTCTCAGTTCTAGCTATCAAGGGAAGTGGTATTATCTGGCAAATGGTTGCCAACAAAGCCACCATACTATATGGCTTTACTATTAGTCCATAAGTCTGGACACTATAGAAATACACAGACATGTTTGTCTATGTTTCTGAGACCTCTCCGACATTCAGAGATATTCATTAGGAACATGAGTATCTCATTCCTTCTCATACTGCTTCTCTGCTGAAAATACAGGCTTTGTTTGTTTGTTTGTTTTTAATCAAAACTGATGATTTCACTCCACAGTCCCCCAGTATCTGATCAGGTTTTTCACACAGCTGGTATGGTAGGGCTACTCCCAGCTTTTCCCTTTTAAGAAAACTTTCCCTAAGAGTTTCTCCCCCTCCTTTTGTTTGTTTGTTTGTTTGTCTATTTTTAGCTTTTCAAAATAGGGTTTCACTGTTTAGCCCTGGCTGTCCTGGAACTCACTTTGTAGACCAGACTGGCCTCGAACTCACAGAGATCTACCTGCCTCTGCCTCCTAAGTGCTGGGATTAAAGGTGTGCGCCACCACCACGTTTTTCTCTTTTAAGCAAAACTGTATAGCTCACAGCTGCTGACCTCTCACCAAACCCTCTCCGGAGAGGACAGCACAATCACATCATTCTCAGGAGGAAGCCAAAGCTCCGAGGAAAATCAGGATTAAAAGCTAGGAGACAAGGTCTTTGACATGCCACAGAACCAAAACTTCTCACAATCCAGACCACACTTTGCCCCAGAACAGAATTCTTTTCATTCCAAACTACAGTTTTTGCTTTCTGCAATTGGAAAGCACTTTTGCTCAGGAAGTTGGTATATTTCACAACTTAAATTTGTCATTTTCATTTTCTATTTCATATCTCCCCCAAACCATGTATGCACACTTCCAGACATATGCCTACTGGGCTGTCCTCTCACACTCATTGCTGCATCCTGACTCTCACCCACAGAGCATGTGTGCACACAGCCACACACACAGAGGGAGAACACCCACAGAGCAGGTGTGTACACAGCCACACACACACAGAGGAAGAACAGTTCTGGCCTCTGTATGCGAGGATTTTAGCATTCCCCAGTTAACTCCATTCATTTCCACTTAGGGAGCCAAGTGACCTTCAGGGTTTGCTGAACCTCTTGAGCCACATTTCCCTCATTTGTCAAGCGAGGACGTGACTGTCTGACTGAATTGTTCCGAAGATTAAATGCAGCTACATGTGAAATATTTATAACCCAATCCCTGGATTTCTGTGAACCCACAAAAACAACAATTATATTGTTCATCAGGAAGTTGGAGTAACGCTTCTCTAATTACATCAAATGTGCCCTAGCTAGCCTCTACTGAGGAAGTACTGGCGTTCCCACTGTAAAGGTGAAGGAGTTCCTCAAGAGTGACCCAACTCGTGACTGACAAAACAAAGTCCCAGCTAAGCCCAGGATCAGGAAGCTGAGCTCTTTGCAGTCTCTTATGCAAGAGCTTGGTAGTTTTCCTTCTTGGTGTACAACTAGGCTTTCCATCACCTCCTTCTTATGCACAGTATAGCAAATCAGAGCCTTACCCAGGGACCAACATTCCAGCACTGTTGCTAACTTCTCTCTCTCTCTCTCTCTCTCTCCCTCCCTCCCTCTGTGTATGTGTGTGTGTGTGTGTGTGTGTGTGTGTGTGTGTGTGTGTAGTGGCGGCTTTGCATAAATACATACACACATGCAAATGGGGAAAGAACCCTGGAAACTGCAGAGCTAATTATGGTCATTGTATCACAGACATTGTCATTTTCATTCTCCAGCAGCCAATTTTGATCCTGTTTATAATGCCCTTGTCTCTACTGCCTGCACACGCCTCTGCTTTAATCTATAGACTGGAATGCCACAGCCTGGTCCCCTAGTCACATCTATAACAGTATCATCCAGGTCCGTCACTATTCCCCTCTCTCACTCTTTTGTAGGTCTCCCCCTCTAGACCCTACAGTTCCCTGGGCATCTATAGAATCCACATGCATCTCTCTGACACTGGGTGACAGCCAGAATCTGCCTGGGACCCTCTCACTACACTGTAGGAGCGTACTCAGTTGGCTCACATCATTTCTCAGGACCATGGCACTCTGTCAAAAACATCTAATATCTGAAGACTACCACCTGATGTGGATTTCCCCTCTGTATGCTGTGAATACCATTGGTTAATAAAGAAACTGTCTTGGCCTGATAGGGTAGAGTAGAGCTAGATGGGGAAAACTAAACTGAATGCTGGGAGAAAGGAGGTGGAATCAGAAGAAGCCATGGAGCCGCCGTCGGAGACAGACACACTGAAACTTTTCTAGTAGGCCATGACCTCATACTGATGCACAGATTAATGGAGATGGGTTAAATTAAGATGTAAGAGTTAGCCAATAAGAAGCTAGAGCCAACTGTTAGAAAGAAGCCTGAGATGCCCTTTTCCGTAATAATGGTGTAAGCTATGTCTGGTTATTCCTTGCACCTCCATACCAGTCGAGTTAGGGAAAATAAATATCTGTGTTGGAGCCACATGGGCTCTAACAGCCAATGGGCCAAGCAGTGATTTAAATAATATAGTTTCTGTGTGATTATTTAGGGGCTGAGCAGCTGGGAGCAAACAAGTGGCCTTTATACTACAACCACCACCTGTGTTGTGCATAGGTTTTCACTTGTGTCTGGTGGGAGGGTAAATATGGTCCCTGTAATACTGCTTCACCAAAGCAGAACTGCTAAAGTATGGGTACTTTAAGGATGGGGCTCCAGATGCTGAGAGACAACAAACAACTTGCCGTAGGCCCACTCCCTAGTGACTGAGGGCTGGATCTCTAATTGGCTTCATTCTGGCTCCAGAATATCACGTTTATCTTGTTTTCTTGCCTTCCTATCAACTCAATCTTCAGTTCTACATCTCTTTAAAAGGGTGCTGGTCTTGTGAGGACACTTGTATCCCTTGTGTTTTAATTGTCCTGAGCCTTTTGTAGCCAAAAGCAAGTTGTCTGAGAACTGTTCCAGAGAGCTGAGGTAGACAGATTCTACATAAATGACCTGTCATTAGTGGGTTGGCATGACAGCCACAAGGTAACTGTAACTGTTAAATGATATCCATGTAGGAGTGTCATGAACATACTTGCTCACTCATTCCTTCAACAAACGTTTATTGAGAACCCCATGCATGCTGGGCATTGTTACACTGTATATGCTATAACACTGATCAAAACAACTAGCCTATAGTCTAGCAGAATGACATAAATGACTAATTTACACAAGAGCCTTGAAGATGGAGCTAAATGCCAAGGTAAACACAGCAGTTATGGGGATAGCACATATGCTGAGCGCTTTAGCACAAACCCAGCCTAATATCTGCTTTCCCATCTTACTCCCATACTCATTAAGAGCTGCCTAGGACAGGGCAATGATGCAATGAGAGGCCTGGCTCCTGTGCTATGGTTTGGTAATCAGAGTTGCTAAGGATCCCATGACAAGATGTTACATTTGCAGTGTAAGGCAAAGAGCATCCCATGCAGAGTGGGTGCTGTTTCCTCCTTGGCTTCTTTGTTGAATGAGTATGTGTGCACATACGTGTGTGTGTGTGTGTGTGTGTGTGTGTGTGTGCGCGCGCGCGCGAGCATGTGCATCTGAGGACCTAGCAATCTCTCTCATTCCTATCCATCCAAGAACCATTGTTCTGTAGGAACTCCAGTGGATGACAAGGATCGGGTCCCTAAACTCCGAGCCTCTACTGTCCTCTGCGCTCCTAAGGTTGATACGAAGATTAAATGAGATGCAGAACTATCTTGGACCACATTTTGACCAGTGATGTATATGAGCACAAGAGACTTTCTATCTAACAGCACAAACAGGCCTTCTTAAAGGAGGAGCCCAGGAAAGGCACTAATACCCTTGACACTGAGAGTGGTTAACATTTTTGTTGAAAAGGGGTTGTCTCTTCTTTTAGAATGGGGAGAAAAATTGCTTCCATTTTAGCAAAGACAAATCTGTTGTTCTACCTATAATCTTGTTCCAACAGGTCCGAGATTTCCAGAGTAACAAAAAAGTCAAAACTTTAAGTCTGGATAAAAATGACCTGACTTCATCTCAAGCCTTCTGAGTAAGCTTAAAAAAAGCCACTCTGAAGAAAGAGGCCCTGACTCACTGGGTGCCTCTTTGTGAATCCTGGGCTAGCCGTTAGTCTTTGCTAAGTCCTTACCAAGTGAGGCCCCTGCTTGTCTAGTTATCTTTTAACTGGAAAAATCTGACATCTTGGATGGACTTCTAAAAATATCCCTTTATGCGCCTCCTATGAGCAGGAGGCTTTCGGCTTCTCTGCTGCCCTCATTCGGTTCAGATGACTGAAGAGAGGCAGCTGGAGGCAGCATAGAGCAATCAACTAGCTCCTAGCCTGCCACTGAGCCAATGCAGAGCATGCTGGGACTGTCTGACTAATCCCTGTAGGTGTGGCAGCCTCACACAGGCCACCCCAGGCTGCCTAGCACTGTTTGCTGATAGGCCCTAAGCAATAGGACAGCAGAAGCCAAGTAGGAACTTGTATTTGTACTGCCAGTCTCCATGGCAACAGGTAAGTCAGCACAGAGAACATTCTCAAACTGGCAGAAAAACCTTCAGCCCCACCCTGATAAAACCATTCCTCCCTGGGCAGCCAGCAGATCCTTGAGGCCAAATCCCTAGGGAAAAAGCCAAACATACAGATAGTTTGTACAAACATACAGTTTATTCCCAGATGGCTTTCCCTCTTAGAATGTACAGGTTATTTGACTGGCATAGATGTATCTTAGGATTGATGAGAATGTCTAGAGAGCCAAGGGTGTGCATGGTCCTGGACCTGCTCTTAGTTGGATAAATCAGGGATGATGGAAACACATCCTCTGCTCCATGCTGAGCTAACTCAGGCCAGAATTTCAAGACTGTAAGCAACTACACAGAGATATCTTCAGGGCAGAGAGCTGACCTCATCTGAAGAAACACCTGCCCCCATGAAGGAGCAGTACAGACTAAGACCAATTTGGGGAAGTTTTTCAGGTGAGCTGGTCTTAGTGTTTCTGGGATGATAACTTGTGCGCTGACTGGTGACACAAGCTGGAGTCATCGGAAAGGCAGAACCACAGAACCTCAACAGGAAAAAAATGTCTCTGTAAGATCTAGCTGTAGGGCATTTTCTTTTCTTTTCTTTTTTAGATTTATTAATTTATTATGTATACAGTGTTCTGCCCGCATGTGTTCGTATAGGTCAGAAGAGGGCACCAGATCGGATTACAGATGGTTGTGAGCCGTCTCACATGTTGGCTGGGAACTGAACTCAGGACCTCTGGAAGAGCAGACAGTGTTCTTAACCTCTGAGCCATCTCTCCAGCCTCTAGTAGGGCATTTTCCTAATTAGTGATTGATGGGGGAGGGCCCAGTCCATTGTGAATGGGGCCATCCTGGCTTCCCGGATTCTGTAAGAAAGCAGACTGAGCAAGCAATGGTCAGCAAGCCAGTGAGCAGCACCCCTCCCTGGCCTCTGCCTCAGCTCCTGCGTGAGTTCCTGCTCTCACTGCTTTTGAAGATGAACTGTTAAAAGGAACTGAGTGTGAAATAAACCCTTTCCTCCCCAAGTTACCTTTGGTTATGGTGTTTCATCACAACAGTTGTAACCAAGATAACCCGTGAGCTCCTGGCACCCATATACCACCCCTCAGCTGAGGTTTCCAGACAGCACCCAGTGTGAAACCGTGAAGACCTTGGAGCAGCAAGCCAGGTGACAGTCTCGGGAGAAAAGAACTGGCAGAGAATACAGGGTACAGTCAGAAGGACAGGCTGGTGGGCACCCTGTGGGATCCCTGGAAATCAAGGACATTGGGTACCTCAGTCACTAGGAGGAAAGGGGGGAGGAAGAGACAAAAGACTG